TGTGACATATGGTGTGACATATGGTGTGACATATGGTGTGACATATGGTGTGACATATGGTGTGACATATGGTGTGACATATGGTGTGACATATGATGTGACATATGGTGTGACATATGGTGTGACATGGTATGGCATATGGTGTGACATATGCTGTAACAAATGCTGTGACATATGCTGTGATGTATGGTGTGATATATGATGTGACACAAGGTGTGACATATGGTGTGACATAAGATGTGACATTTGGTGTGACATACAGTGTTTGGTGTTAATTAGGGAACAATAATATACAGGCTGTCGATTAAATAGTGCATTGTATTTAACAGGGATGCCATTGCTAAGGAGTTATATTCAAGAGTATTCACATGGCTGGTGAATAAGATAAATGGTATTGTGTTCCATGGTAAACAAGGTCCTTCTATTGCCATTCTTGATATCTTTGGATTTGAGGTAAATATACACACGACGAGAGCAATATGTACACTTTTCTTACTTTATGGTGTTGAATATACTGTACCTTTAAAGAGCATAATAATAATAATGATGACAATAATAATAATAAATAAATAAAGATATTTATTTCTTATATTGTATAGAACGGTCTGAACCCAGGTGAATGAATGTTAATCCAAGTATTATGATCATCCAGGTGGATATAGTCCTGAGAAGGACTGTTTGATGTGACTGACGTTTCGACAACCTGAGTGGAAGTCATCTTCAGAGTCAAGTGAGGAATAAAGTCAGATGGGTCATATTTATACTGCCACGATAATTATAAATATGGCAGTATAAATATAACCAATCTGACTTTATTCTTCACTTGACTTCCTTCTCAGGACTACATGCATCCAGATGATCATAATACTTCGATTAATATTTCTTATATAGTGCCTCTTCCATAAATGTCCAGCAGCGCTTTACAATCTAATCAAACTTAATACTAGAAACGTACTAGAAAACTTGAATGAGATTAAAACTATTTTATAACATGATGTTAAATATTTAAAGAATTCCTATAATGCTAAACTAATATCAAAACTATTTATTTGAAACTTAATTTTAACTATATATATATATATAGCATAAAATGAGTGATCTACATTACATGGGGTAATGAATCATTGTACATGGAGTATCAAATATAATGTCCAACCTTTTCAAAGGATTGTGAAAACATTGTGACCATATCTTTTTTGTTTGGTAGTACAACTTTGGATGGAATCAAGGGCGGATCCAGCCAAAATGTTAGGGGGAACTAATTGAGTTTACGGGGGTGGCTAATTGAGTTTCTTCTGTCAACACAACAACAACAACAACAACAACAACAAAACAAACAATAAAAAAGCATGTAATTCTTCAGTTTTGTTTTGTTTTGTTTTTCTGCTGCACCCCTGGATCCGCCCTTGGGAATGAAGAAAACAATGCTGCAAACTTCTTAGCCATATAAAAAAATAGAATGACCCCCCCCCCCCCTCAATTGACTAGAAAATGAATGCTGTTTTTATAACTATACTCAATATTTATGCTAATGCAACATGCAGTTAAAGCTAAAATTGAGTGAACATATTTCTATCTTCTGTAGGATTTCAGGATGAACAGTTTTGAGCAGCTATGCATTAATTATGCAAACGAAAGCCTGCATTTTTTCTTCAATCAGTTTATCTTCAAAATGGAGCAGGTAAAATAGCCTTGAGCTGCACATTGTAAAAAAATACTTTAACTAGTTTAAATTAATCAGTTAATTTGTTACTCTAGGATGAATACAAACTAGAAGGAATCCACTGGAGAGAGCTAGAATACAATGATAATCAAGCATGCTTGGATCTGCTGGCCAGACCTCCTCATGGCATACTACATCTGTTGACAGATGAAACCAACTTCCCTAAGGTATGCATGTATGTATACTATCTTGATTGGGTTAGCAAATGTGTGGAACGAGGATAATTTGTCATGCTTTGTTGGGATGATGTCTTAATTGTTTCTTTAGGAGAAGCATAGTCAACATCATCGTCTGTAATGCCACTGTTAGTTTTCCAATTGAATCATTGCCATCTTCTTATCACTGTATCACAATCATTATCATTGACATCAACATTATTGTCATCAATATCATTGTCATCATCATCATCATCAACATCATCATCATCATCATCAACATCATCATCATCATTATCAACATCATCATTATCATCATTATCATCATCATCATCATCATCATCAACATCATCATCATCATCAACATCATCATCATCA